CCCCGTGGGCGTCCGGGGACCCCCACATCGTGCTCCCTCCGGTGTGGTCCGCTTGCCGTGGCCTGTGTGGGGCCCGGAGAGCTGTGGCTGTGTTGGGGCTCCGTCCTGCGGGGGCTGGGTGCCGGGGAGGGGGTGTGCCCGAGGCACTGGGGCTCCGGCCTGCTTCCCTGCCGTGGTGCTGAGCACCGGGGCCGCGCTGGGCCGCAGGGGCCCTGGGCGGGCGGGCGCAGGGGGCTCCTCCAGGTTCCCAGGTGGACGCCCGTGGGGAGCAGCTGTGGGCAGGTTCCAGCCTGGGGCTAAGGAGAGGGCAGTCCCAGCACAGCGACAGCCAGAGGCTGTGGTCGTGAGCTTGACCATATGGCCCGGACCTGTGGGCCCGCGAGGCTGCATGACGTGGGCTGCGGGAGGCGCGCAGTAAACCAAGCTGGATCCGGTGCGTGTGGTGGAGTGGATTCGAAGCCCAGAGGACGCTGTGACCACGCCCCACCTCTCCCAGCGGGATCTGCTGTAAATGAAGACTCGGCCTGCAGGCCGTGGCACTGTCTCTGTCAGAGAGACAGACAGAGCTCTGTCAGACAGACAGACAGACGGCCCACCCAGACCCAGCTGTATCCTCTCCTCCGTCTTTTCTCAATCCTTCACTGGCCGCCCTGCCCCCCTCAGGCTAACCCATGGCCGTGCTGAGGGCGGTACAGCTAATACAAATGAAAATTTATTAAATGAAGGCCTGAAACATTGGTCGGCAAACTCATCAGTCCACAGAGCCAAACAGCAACAGCACAACGATTGAGATTTCTTTGGAGAGCCACATTTTTTAAACTTAAACTTCTTCTAACACCACTTCTTCAAGATAGGTAGTTTGTGGAAGAGCCACACTCAAGGGGCCAAAGAGCCGCATGTGGCTGGAGAGCCTCGGTTTGCTGACCCCGGGCTTAGGGGCCTCACATGAAAACATCCTCCCCCGAGGCCAGGCCTTGCTGATTTCAGAGAGGAAGGAAGGAAGAGGCGGGGAGAGAGAGAGAGACATCGACGTGGGAGTGAAACATGGATGCGTGGCCGTCCGAACACAGCTGATGGGGCCGGAGCCCACCACCTGGGGAGGCGCCTGACCTGGAACCAGACCCTGGCGCCAGGACGACGCTGGCCCACGGCGCCTCGCGGCTGGCGCTGACGGGGATTTGCTGCCCGTTTCTTGGCGAGTGGTCGTCACACCTCCTCAGGCTCCAAGGCTGCACCCAACCGATGTTCTGCAGCCGCTCATCTTGCTGGACTGGGCTCTTCTTCCGACTGCGGCCCTTCCTGCTGTCCCGGGAGCGCGGGCCGAGGTTCCGGCCGGGCGGCGGGCGGGCGGGCGGCCGCGTGTGCGATGGGGCTGCAGCTGCGGGGCAGGGGCTGCGGGGCGGGTGCGAGGAAGGCAGGACACAGGGCACGCTGGCTCCCTGTGGCTCCCTGGGAGCGCCTGGCAGAGGGGGCCCCCACCCTCAGGGGGCGGGAGGCGGGGCTGGCTCCTCTCAGAGATGGAGGGAAGGAGGGACAGGAGCCAGTGCAGCCCCAGGGTGTGGGTTTGCATGCACATTGTTTGCAGAAAGCAATTAGCATCTCCTCCCAGGCGGCCCAGTCGCCATGTGTACTTTCCCAGCAACCATTTCTTCTTCCATTTCTTAGTCTGGTATGGCAGGCCGCCGGCCACTGACCCTGGGAGGCCGCCCAATCACACATCGATCGGCTGCCTCCTGCACGCCCCCTACTGGGATGGAGCCCGAAACCCAGGCCTGTGCTCTGACGGGGAATTGAACCTCGACCTCCTGGTTCCTAGGGCCACGCTCAGCCACAGGGCCACGCCGGCCACGGAGCCACACAGGCCATGGGGCCACACGCAGCCACGGAGCCACGCTTAGCCACAGGGCCACGCCGGCCACGGAGCCACACAGGCCATGGGGGCCACGCTCAGCCACGGAGCCACGCTTAGCCACAGGGCCACGCCGGCCGCTGGGCTCGCACAACTCCTTTGGGTGCCAGTTTGGTGCCCGGGTCTCTGTTAACCTTGAATTCGCTGCCCTGTGACCCCGCTATTTCCCTCCTAAGATGTTCTCTCGGAAGGAATGCCGGCCCCAGCGCCCGAGCACAGCCCCATGGTCGGCAAACCGCGGCTCGCGAGCCACATGCGGCTCTTTGGCCCCTGGAGTGCGGCTCTTCCACAAAATACCACGGCCCGGGCGAGTCTCTTTTGAGGAAGTGGCGTCAAAAGAAGTTTAAGTTTAAAACATGTGGCTCTCCAAAGGAGTTTCCACCGTTGTGCTGTTGATGTTTGGCTCTGGACTAGGAGTTTGCCCACCACGGGGCTGGCCGTACAGGAGGTTCACTCGGGAGCATGGGCATAGCGAATGCCGAGAGACCACACACCCGCTCAGAGAGGCTGGGGAGGCTGCTGGGCAGCCACTGAGGACAACAGGACCGAGGTGGACGCAGGCAGGGATGGCAATGCCCGTGAGGTGTTGTATTTTTTTATTTTTTAAAAAAATATATCTTATTGATTTTTTACAGAGAGGAAGGGAGAGAGATAGAGAGTTAGAAACATCGATGAGAGAGAATCATCGATCAGCTGCCTCCTGCACACCCCCCACTGGGGATGTGCCCGCAACCAAGGTACATGCCCTTGACCGGAATCGAACCCAGGACCTACCAGTCTGCAGGCCGACGCTCTATCCACTGAGCCAAACCGGCTTCGGCCCGTGATATGTTATTGAATAAAAGGCACCACCTGTGTGGCGTGAAGCATGTGTAAGCAGTGTGTGTGCATGTGTGTAAGCGTGAAGCGTGTGTAAACGGTGGGTGTGTGCACGTGTGTGTAAGTGTGAAGCATGTGTAAGCGGTGTGTGTATGTGTGTGTAAGCAGTGTGTGCATGTGTGTGTAAGCGTGAAGCATGTGTGTAAACAGCGGGTGTGCGCACGTGTGTGTAAGTGTGAAGCATGTGTAAGCGGTGGGTGTGTGCACGTGTGTGGAGAGGTCGGAGCCACCGCTCAGTGGCCCCGGAGGGGGCGGGGTGGAGTGGGATGAGGAGACTCTGCCTTTGACTCCGCACAGCTGCGTGTCCCTGATCTAACACGGAGCATATGCTGGGCGGGCAATAAAGCAGGAACCGCTTCACGGCGGCCCCAGAGTGCTGACGCGGCCCAACCGCTCGGCCGTGTCTCTCCGGGCCCTGGGGACGGCTCGGCGTGGCTCCGCCTGAACGGGAAGCAGGAGAGCGTTAGTCCCGTTAACGAATGCGCCCGCAGGCCCGCCTCGGAGGCTGAGTGCCGAGGCGCTGGCCACGCGCGTGTCAGGCGGCGGGACAGATGTCCCTGCCGAGGGCTGGTGACGCAGGAGCACAAAGAGCTCGAACCCGCTCCCCCCCCGCCTGTGCACGCCCAGGCCTCACACTGGGTCTCCGTGGACGACCTCTGAACCCGGCCCCAATCCCAGCTCCCTGCTCTGTCCCCTACCCCCTCCTCCTCTCTCTCGAGAACACTCAGCCGAGGATGTTTTCCCACTGATTTTTAAAGAGAGAAACTTCTGTGCGAGACAAACACATCGATGGGCTGCCTCCTGCACAGGCCTCGTAAGGGCCCAGGCCGGGGTGGAGCCTGCAACCCAGGTACGTGCCCTTGACTGGAACTGAGCCAGGGACCCTTCCGTCCACAGGGCGATGCTCTATCCGCTGAGCATACTGGTCAGGGCAGGCCCAGTCCTTCTCACTCCAGGGCTCCCACAGAGAATCATGCCATCACACCAGCCAGGATGCAAACCCCACTCCCACAGGCACCGAGGCACCTGCACAGCCCCTAACCCTAACCCTAACCCTAACCCTAACCCCTAACCCCTAACCCTAACCCTAACCCTAACCCTAGCCCTAACCCTAACCCTAACCCTAACCCTAGCCCTGTATAGCCCCTGCCCCCAAACATCTCTCTCCCAGCGTTCTCTTTCTTTCTTTTTCTTTCTTCTTTCTTTTAAATATATTTTTATTGCTTTCAGAGGGGAAGGGAGAGTGAGAGAGAGAAAAATATCAATGATGAGAATCGTGGATCATTTGGTTTCTGCACCTCTGGGCCTGGGCCCTGACCTCCTGGCTCATAAGTGGACGCTCAGCCATGGAGCCATGCCTTCCTTCGTGGGTGCGGAGCTGGGGACGCAGAGCAGCAGAGGGGAGGCGGGGAGGCGAGGCCGCACGGCGGCCCTGGGGCCTCTGAGGGGTGTGATGGCCAACCTGCCAACATGCCCTCTGGGCAGCTCTGCTCAGCACCCCTGTGGGCCTGCAGGCACCCTGTCCTGGGGCAGCTCTCCCGCCCGGACGCTGTCCGCGGTGCTGACCGCAGGCGCGGCCCGCGCTCCGCCGCTGCGCACGCGTCCCGGGCGGGGCGCGCAGGACCCGGCGGCGCCGCCACTGCGCAGCCTCCCGCGCGCCCGGCCGCCGGCTCCCGGCTCCCGCCTCCCCGCTCCCGGCTCCGGGCCCCCCGCTCCCGGCTCCCGGCTCCCCGCTCCCGGCCCCCGGCTCCCCCATCCGGCCCCCGGCTCCCCGCTCCCGGCTCCGGGCCCCCCGCTCCCGGCTCCGGGCCCCCCGCTCCCGGCCCCCGGCTCCCCGCTCCCGGCCCCCGGCTCCCCCATCCCGGCCCCCGGCTCCCCGCTCCCGGCCCCCGGCTCCCCGCTCCCGGCTCCGGGCCCCCCGCTCCCGGCCCCCGGCTCCCCGCTCCCGGCTCCGGGCCCCCCGCTCCCGGCCCCCGGCCCCCCGCCCCCGGCCCCCGGCCCCCCGCTCCCGGCTCCGGGCCCCCGCTCCCGGCCCCCGGCTCCCCGCTCCCGGCCCGCGGCTCCCCGCTCCCGGCTCCGGGCCCCCCATCCGGCCCCCGGCTCCCCGCTCCCGGCCCGCGGCTCCCCGCTCCCGGCTCCGGGCCCCCCATCCGGCCCCCGGCTCCCCGCTCCCGGCCCCCGGCTCCCCGCTCCGGCCCCCGGCTCCCCGCTCCCGGCCCCCGGCTCCCCGCTCCCGGCCCGCGGCTCCCCGCTCCGGGCCCGCGGCTCCCCAGGCCGCCGCGCCTCGCCATGGCGCTGGACCGGCTGCTCCTGGCGCAGGGCGCCTGCTACCTGCTGGCCTTCCTGTGCAGCCTCGTGGCGCTGGTGCCGCTGTGGGAGAACCGCCACGACTTCCGCGGCCGCTGCCTGCTCTTCGCCGAGGGCCTGTGGCTCAGCGCCAACCTCACGCTGCAGGCGCGCGAGCGCTTCACGGTGCAGGAGTGGGGCCCGCCCGCCGCCTGCCGCTTCGGCCTGCTCGCCTGCCTCCTCTCGCTGCTGCTGGCCGCCGCGCTGGCCTGGCGCGCGCTCTTCTTCCTCTGCAAGGGCCACGAGGGGTAAGCGGGGGCCGGCGGCCCTGCTCCGGGCGGCCCCCCCAGTCCGCGCGCCCCTCCGTGCCCCCGGCGCCCCGGGGCTCTCCTCCCCGGCGCCCGGAGGCGACCGCGTCAGCGCGGGCCCCCCGCACTCCGGCGCACACTGCCTGCCCTTTGTCCACACGCACAGCCCAGGGCCGCGACGCTCATAGTCCTCCTAGGAAGCCAGTGCGGCCCTCCCCAAAAGTGCCCACCTGCTGCTTCCGGGCCTTTGCCCCCGCCCCCGCCCCCGCCCCCTCCCCCCTCCCCGGCTGTAGGTGTAGCACCGCCTTCCCGCCCTGACCCGGGCCTCCGCGCTGGGTCAGCACCGCGGACAGCGCCACGCCCCAGGGCCTGCGCTCTGGGCCAGGCCTGACCCTAAGGGACTTGTGGGTTTGGGAGCCCTCCCCTCAACCCCTTTGCCTGGGGAGGCTGCTGGCGGGAGGGGCTCTGGAGGGAACCCCTGGAGGCCTTGGCTGGGGATGCGAGGGCCCTGCTTTGTCCCCACCAGCACCCCTGCCTCCCCACCTCCAGGCCCCTTCCAGCCCATCTCTAGCCCCTCCTTCCCCCCACCTCCAGCCTCCCCCTCCCCACCACCAGCCTCCTTCTCACTTCCTCCAGCCTCCTCCCCACCTGTTTCAGCCTCCCCCTCCCCACCTCCAGCCTCCCCTCCCCACCTCCAGCCTCCTTCTCACTTCCTCCAGCCTCCTCCTCACCTGTTCCAGCCTCCCCCTCCCCACCTCCAGCCTCCTTCTCACTTCCTCCAGCCTCCTCCCCACCTGTTCCAGCCTCCCCCTCCCCACCTCCAGCCTCCCCTCCCCACCTCCAGCCTCCTTCTCACTTCCTCCAGCCTCCTCCCCACCTGTTCCAGCCTCCCCCTCCCCACCTCCAGCCTCCCCCTCCCCACCTCCAGCCTCCTTCTCACTTCCTCCAGCCTCCTCCCCACCTGTTCCAGCCTCCCCCTCCCCACCTCCAGCCTCCCCCTCCCCACCTCCAGCCTCTCCTCCTCCCCACCTCCAGCCTCCCCCTCCCCACCTCCAGCCTCCTTCTCACTTCCTCCAGCCTCCTCCTCACCTGTTCCAGCCTCCCCCTCCCCACCTCCAGCCTCCCCCTCCCCACCTCCAGTCTCCTCCTCCCCACCTCCAGCCTCCTTCTCACTTCCTCCAGCCTCCTCCTCACCTGTTCCAGCCTCCCCCTCCCCACCTCCAGCCTCCCCCTCCCCACCTCCAGCCTCCCCCTCCCCACCTCCAGCCTCCTTCTCACTTCCTCCAGCCTCCTCCTCACCTGTTCCAGCCTCCCCCTCCCCACCTCCAGCCTCCCCCTCCCCACCTCCAGTCTCCTCCTCCCCACCTCCAGCCTCCCCCTCCCCACCTCCAGCCTCCCCCTCCCCACCTCCAGTCTCCTCCTCCCCACCTCCAGCCTCCCCCTCCCCACCTCCAGCCTCCTTCTCACTTCCTCCAGCCTCCTCCTCACCTGTTCCAGCCTCCCCCTCCCCACCTCCAGCCTCCCCCTCCCCTCCTCCAGTCTCCTCCTCCCCACCTCCAGCCTCCCCCTCCCCACCTCCAGCCTCCTTCTCACTTCCTCCAGCCTCCTCCTCACCTGTTCCAGCCTCCCCCTCTCCACCTCCAGCCTCCCCCTCCCCACCTCCAGTCTCCTCCTCCCCACCTCCAGCCTCCCCCTCCCCACCTCCAGCCTCCTTCTCACTTCCTCCAGCCTCCTTCTCACTTCCTCCAGCCTCCTCCCCACCTGTTCCAGCCTCCCCCTCCCCACCTCCAGCCTCTCTTCCTCCCCGCCTCCGGCTTCCTCCCCACCTCCTGCGGACACTCTGCGGAATCAGGCGGATGCAGCTCACCTGGGCTGGGGCACAGCTGGAGGAGGGGGAACCCACAGCCCCTGTCTGGTTCCCGGGGCGGCCTGGATGGAGGAGTCCTGAGGCGGGAAGTCCACAGTCAGGGTCAGGGCCGGTCCTCAGCCTGGGGCTGCTCCCCCCGCCCCGGGTCTGTCTGCGCACGGCCTCGGTCTCTGCCTCACAGCGACGCCCCTCACAGGCTCAGAGCCCCCCAAACCCAGGGAGACCGTTAGTTAATGACCACCATAGGACCCTATTCCTAATAAGGTCACATCCGCAGGTGCAGGCGAGGGCGGGACACGTGTTGTTGGGGACACGGTCCAGCCCTGGACACGGAGGCTCTGGGCGTGGGGTGTGCGGGAGTCACACGTCAGCCTGGGAGGCCTCGGGGGCTGTGGGGCTGGGCTCGGCCCAGGGTGAGCCCAGGCCAGTCCCAGAGGGGGCCCTGCCCGGGGCAACCTCACTGCCAGGCCCAGGCGGTGCCCCCCTGAGGTGGGGCCGGGGGGGACGGCACCTCAGCAGGGTGGGTGGGTTGAGGCCCCTTCAGTCTGAAGCTGAGGGTGGTGGGCACAGGCCGTGTGGGGGCCTATCTGGCCCTCGGCGCCTGCCCATCCTTCCAGGTGACCCCATAAGACAATGGCCTTGAGGCGTTTAGGGTCCAGCTGGCGAGGACACAGCCGCTCTCGGGTGCCGGCGTGTGGCTCGGAGAGAGGGGTTCGGAGCAAGGGGCTCAGGGCCAGCACCGGCCGGGGCGGGGCAGGCGGGAGCCAGGAGCCCCCGGACAGGAGTCGGGGTCATGGGGGCCGCCCTCCTCACACAAACCGGCAGCAATCCTGGGGGATCCAGAGCAGCAGCCCGTCCTTTGCCATCTTTTTAAAAAATATTTCTTCTTCTTTTTAAACCATGTTTTTATTGCTGTCAGAGGAAGGGAGGGGAGAGACAGAAACATCAGTGATGAAGAGAATCATGAATCGGCTGCCTCCTGCACGCCCCACACTGGCGATCGAGCCTGCAATCCGGGCCTGTGCCCTGATGGGAATGAACTGTGACCTCCTGGGTCATAGGTCGATGCCCACCCACTGAGCTGCCGCTGGGCCGTCCTTGTCACCGTGTAGAAAGGGGCTGGTTGGCTCTGTGCAGCCGCCATCCCCACCCCATGATGGAGACGGAAAGGGGGGCCTGTGCTCATCCGCCCTCCGGGATGGGGGTGGGGAGGAACATTTCGGTCTTCCGTCCCTTTGTGTCAGTCCTGGGGGCTCTCCTGTACTGCAGTGACCTCTGTCCAGGCCTCGAGCGTGGCCAAGGCCGGCCGCCCTCTCCTCCAGAGACAGCTGTGCAGCGTCCTCCTCGCCACCAGGAGCTGTCCGAGGCCACGTGGCCGTGCGGCCGCCCGCCCCGCCCCCATCGCCCACGCGGTCCCGTCGGCAGGCAGGGAGCCGTGTGGCAGTGCCACGTGCCAGCTCCCCGCTTAGCTCGGATGTGGGCCCGTCGGGGCTCTCCGGTCCAGGCTGCGGCTGCCCTCTGAGGGGCCTGGGCGGGCGGCCCGGTGGGCGTGCTGCCATCCCGTGTGCTCCGGGCCCAGCACAGGGCTGAGCGCCCGGGATCACCGCGTTAGTCTGCCGAGGGGGCGGCAGAGCGGCCTGCGGCAGACCTGCTGCTCCCGGCTCGCACCGGCCCGGCGTCGCCGGACTCACCAGCCGGCTGGGGCCGAGCCTCCAGGCTGGCTGTGCGCTCAAGCCCTGGGTGCTGGGAAGGGGGCCGGCTTCGTCCAGCCACAGGCAAGCCGGTCCAACAGAGAAGCCGTCTGCCCGGGGCTGCTTCAGCTACGCTTGACTGGGCGGCAGGAGCCAGCCAGCAGGGAGTGCGGGGTGGCCGGGCGGCCGGAGGGGCCCTCAGTGAGCTCATGGACGGGCACGGCTCTCGGGGCCGTCGGCGGCCGGCGTGTCTGCCCCACCCAGCACCGCTGCCACCACACTCCGGTCCCAGAGGCCTGTGCTCAGGGTCAGCCTGACGGACACCCCGGGACCCGAGACCCGGGCACAGCCTGCCCTCTGGGCCAAGGCGGGGCCCCAGCCAGGTCCCGAGCTGGGGGGCAGGTGGTGTCCAGGGTGCCAGCCGCCACCTCCTGGAGGGGTGTCTGTCAGAGGGGGGCCTGCCCGCCGCGCCCAGGACTGGGGGCAGCGTCTGCACGGGGTGCCCCGGCTCTGGCTGGAGGAACCCGGTGTGGGTCTGGCTCTGCGCTGCTCCGGGGCAGATGCACGGGCCGAGGGGCCGGCCAGGGGCCGGGCCGTTTGCTGAGCGGAGCCCGGGAGCGCCCAGGTGGCGGTGGTCCGTGATTGACGGCTGGGGAGCGCCGGGTTAAAACGACCCATCTGCCCGCGCGGCCTCCCAGGGCTTCCCGGGCTGCGTCACCATGGAGACGGCACATCCAGGCCGGCACCCGGAGGCTCCGGAGAAAGACGGCGTTAACCCTGTGTGTGCGGCGCCGGCGGGCCCGGGACCACATCCTGGGGCGGAGGCCGTGCTTGGAGGGGTCCCCGGGGGGCCCTTGTCCCTCGGGCAGTGCCACGCTCTGAGCGAGACCGTCCAGGGCCCTGCCTCCTGGTCTGCCGCCCACCTGGGCGCGGCCAAGCCTCCAGGCTTCAGGGGAGACGGCCGAGCAGGGCCCTGGGGAGGCCCCCTCGAGGTCCCCCGGCCGCACCGGGGCCACGCGGGCCACGGCTGGAAGGGGGTGGGCTCCCGGCACCGGTGTGCGGGCCCTGCCTTCTGCAGAGGGTGACCACTGGGGCCGCTGGGCGGGCAGGATGGCGCCGGGCCAGCACCGGGGCCTGTTGCTGAGGGCGGGAGTGGCCCTGCACCCGCTGGGCCCCGCTGGGAGCCTGCGGGAGGGGTGGCCGCCCGTGGCGGTGGCGGGACGGGGGTGCAGTGACCCCTCCTGTCTCTCTCACAGCTCCTTCCTCTACGCCTTCCTGAACCTGCTGGTCAGCGCCTTCACCGTCTTCCTGGTCTTCATCGCCAGCACCATCGTGAGCGTGGGCTTCACCATGTGGTGCGACGCGGTCACCGAGAAGGGCTCGGTGCCACGCAGGTGCCCGCCGCCCGCCCGCGCCCCGCGGCTCCCCGTGCCCCCCTCAGGACCGGCCGGGGTCCATGCCCCTTCCCGGGGGGAGCTGCAGGTCACTCGGAGCTGGGCCCCCTGGGGCGGCTCAGAGCTCCCCGAGGCCTCATCTGCCGGCATGCGGGGGTGACTGACCGATGGGGTGTCCGAGCAGCCGGCGAAGGCCTCGGTGTGGTCACCGGGGCGCTCTCCCCTCACAAACACCAGTCCCAGCCCTTCCCCCACCCCCAGGGTGAGCCCGGGCCTCTGGCCTCCTCTGGCTTCATGCTCCGCCTCGGGTCCTGACACCTCGCTCACTCGGGCTCCGAGGCCCCGCGGCCCAGCCTGCCCCCCAGCGGGTGGGTGACGTCACGCAGGCCTGAGGCTGGCCCTGCTGGGCCCCGTGTTTGCAGGCAGTGGGCCGGGGTGGTCTCCCACCGCGGAGGCTGGCGGTGTTGCCCACCATCCAGGGCCAGGCGGGGCGGGCCTCAGGTCCTGCTGCAGAGAGGGTGAGGGCCCTGGGTGCCCTGAGGCTGCCTTCGGGCTTGGGGCTGGCGGTCACTGTCCCTCTGTGGTGCCATTGCAGCTGCGAGGAACTCCAGGACATCGACCTGGAGCTGAACGTGGACAACTCTGCCTTCTATGACCAGTTTGCCATTGCCCAGGTGGGCGGGCCTTCCAAGTAGGCGGGGCTTCCGGGTGGGCAGGGCTCCTCCACAGGGCCTCTGGGTGGGTGGAGCTAATGATGGAAGGCGGGCTCTCCAGGTAGGCGGGGCCTCCAGGTAGGCGGGGCTTCCAGGCAGGCAGGGCTCCCCACAGACAGGGCTTCCAGGTGGGCGGAGCTTCCAGACAGGCAGGCAGGGCCGCAAGGGAGGTGGGCCTCTAGGTGGGCAGAACTTCTGGGTGGGCGGGGATTCTGGTGGGTGGGGCTTCTGGGTAGGCGGGGCTTCCAGATGGGCGGAACTTACAGACAAGTGGGCGGGGGCCTCTAGACGGGCGGGACTTATGGTGGGCGGGGCTTCTGAGTGAGCAGGGCTTCGGGTGGGCGGGGCTTCTGGGTAGGCGGGGCTTCCAGGCAGAAGGGGAGGCCTGCCCTGCCCACCTGAGCCATGGTGGTGCTGGGACCTCACGTGCTGGAGCAGAGGCGTCTGGGACATGGGGGGGGGCAGGGATAGCACCTGTCCCAGCGAAGGGCACTGATGACCCTGATGAGGGGCGCCAGAGTGGGCGGCTCCTTCCAGCTCCAAGCAGGGCTCCCAGCATCTGCATCCCCTTCGGACCCAGGCCGACCGAGCAGGGCGGCGGCCAAGGGCTGATCTGAGGACTCTCTCGGGGGTGGGGACTGGGGGTCTGGATGTCGGAGGTCGGAGGTTCTTTGCCAAGAGGGGATGGGCTGCCGGCCCTCCCGCCTGAGGGGCCCGCCAGGTGGGGCAGGTGTGAGGGGGCTCCCACAGCGCCCGTCCCGCGTGGGGCTAGAGCCTGATGGTCGTGAGGAAGGACCAAAAGGCTCCCCCGCCCCCCCCCCCCCAGCTTGTCCCTGTCCTCACCCCAAGTTGTTCCTGGCCCCTCCCAGCGGGCCGTCCTCTCCCGGGGCTGGGGGTGCCGGCGGTGGGGCCGGCCCTGACGCTGCCTCCACCCTGCAGTTCGGCCTCTGGGCCTCGTGGCTGGCCTGGCTGGCCATCACCGTGCTGGCCTTCGTCAAGGTCTACCACAACTACCGCCAGGAGGACCTGCTGGACAGCCTGGTGCGCGAGAAGGAGCTGCTGCTGGCCCGGCCGGGCGCCCGCCCCCTGGCGCAGGAGGAGAAGAGTGCCGTCATCTAGGCGTGGGGGCGCCCCGGGACCCCCAGGGCCCCCACGGCCTGGGCACAGCCCTCCCGGGGAGCGGCTGGCGGTCTGCCTGGGCCCCACCGGCCGCAGCCTTGCATGTCCCCCTCGGACCTCGCTCGCCCAGCACCTGATCCCACCAGCGGTGCCGGGGTGGGGGCTGGCCCTCAGCGGGGCAGCACCAGGGCCCCCCAGTGAGACCGGAGGCCAGGGGAGCACCCACCTTCTCAGACCCCTGGACCCTCAGGCCCGGCCCCGCCCCGCCCAGGCCTGATGCTTGCTTCGTGGCCACCCCGAGCCACCCCACCCGCCTAGACGCCCACAGGGCACCCCTGCCAATGGCTCCCGAGTGCGCGTGGGACAGGAGCCGGCACAGGAGCGGGAGAGGGCAGGAGCGCTGGCGGCCTCCAGGGCGGCGTCCCCCTGTTCCTCTCCCGCTTTCGCTGTGCAGGGCCAGGCGTGTGGCCTGGGCCCGGGGTGGCCCGGGGTGGCCCAGGGTGGCTGTGTGCCGGGTTTGGGGGGGGCGCCCTGTGGCTGTGCCCCAGCGTGTGTCACTGCGTGTGGCCTGGGCCCGGGGTGGCCCGGGGTGGCCCAGGGTGGCTGTGTGCCGGGTTTGGGGGGGGCGCCCTGTGGCTGTGCCCCAGCGTGTGTCACTGCGTGTGGCCTGGGCCCGGGGTGGCCCGGGGTGGCTGTGTGCCAGGTTTGGGGGGGAGGCCTGTGGCTGTGCCCCAGCGTGTGTCACTGCGTGTGGCCTGGGCCCGGGGTGGCCCGGGGTGGCTGTGTGCCAGGTTTGGGGGGGAGGCCTGTGGCTGGGCCCCAGCGTGTGTCACTGCGTGTGGCCTGGGCCCGGGGTGGCCCGGGGTGGCCCGGGGTGGCTGTGTGCCGGGTTTGGGGGGGAGCCCTGTGGCTGGGCCTGTGCTGGAGGAGGGGGGGCCCGGTGCTGCTGCATGTGCCTGTGAGGTGTGCATGCATGTGACATTAGTGCACACATGACACGAGTGTGTGCACGTGTGAGTGTGTGTGTAGGAGAGTGTGCCATACACTACTGTAGAGTGTGTGCCGTGTTCACAATGTGTGTGTGAGCATGCGTGTGCACAGGATGAGTGTGTGTGCGTGTGTGAGCAGGCCCTGGACAGGGCGGCCAAGACCGCAGCAGGTGTGGACATGCTCTTACCCTCTGGGGAGCCCCGTGCCCCTGCGGTGGGGTGGGGGTAGCCCCGTGCCCCTGCAGGGGGTGGGCTGCCTTCCTACCCCCCACACATCGCTTGTGGAGCGACTCCTCCAGGGCCTCTGGCTTTCGGCCTGTCCCCCCTCCCCTGTGCCTGCCCAGGGGGCCCCCAGGGGTAAGAGCACCCCACTCCCAGGCTCCAAGCCCCGCCGGCCTCCTCAGCTGCCCCCGTGCTGCAAGCTGGCTTCCTGCTGCTCCCCGCCCCCGGGCAGGAAGGCCCGCCGTCCCTCCCGCCCTCGCTGCCCGGACGTGGGCAGGGGCCTGCAGAGCCGGGGCCTGGGCGGGCGAGGGCTGGAGAGGGGCCTGGGCAGACGGGCGGGAGTAAGGGGCCGGTGACCGTCCTGCTGCTGCCGCCGGCGTCCTGGGGGCGGGCCGTGGGGTGGGTGGGGGCCTGCAGAGCCCGCGGGGGCTCCGGGCGGAGCAGCGGGCTGGAGAGCTGCTTGGGTGGCGCCTGAGAACCCGCGCGGAGCTGGTCTAGCTCGGCGCAGCCGGGCGGCCCAGCACCCTGGCCACGGGGACCTTCCCAGCCCCTGCCGCCCCTCGTCCGTCATGGCGGGGGGCGGGGGGCTCTGCCTGCACCCCATCCAGGCAGCGGCCAGCTGGGCGGGAAGGGGGAGCCCAAGGGTCTGCCCAGGCTCGGGGTGCCCTGTGGTCCTGGAGCTGGTCTGGGGCGGCCCCTCCATCAGCCGCACAGCCCTGTGTCCGCCCCTGTGGGTCCCGTCCGCGGCCGGCAGCACCAGCACCTCCTGGGGGGGACCGGACGGAACGGTGCCTGCACCTCGGGCAGGGAGATCCCGGGCGGAAGGGAAGGGCAGGTGGGTCCCCGGGTCTGACGTGGGGCCCCATCGCTTCTCCCTGCTGTTTGACCGCGGACACCGTGATTAATTCTACTTCCGGCTAAACTCAGAGTACAGGTCCTGCACCTGAAAAGCATTTATTTCTCAAAGTCACAATAAAAACCGATCCCAGCCCTCCCATGTGGGGGGGTTCGGCCCCCATTTCAGTGTGTCATCCACTCGCTCATCATGTGAGGGGAGACCGCCTCGTCACGCAAGGGTGGGGACCACCTTGTCATGTAAGGGGAGACCGCCTCGTCACGTGAGGGGAGACCGCCTCGTCATGTGAGGGGAGACCGCCTCGTCACGTGAGGGTGGAGACTGCCTCGTCATGCGAGGGGAGACCGCCTCGTCACGTGAGGGTGGGGACCGCCTCGTCATGCGAGGGGAGACCGCCTCGTCACGTGAGGGTGGAGACTGCCTCGTCATGCAAGGGGAGACCGCCTCGTCACGTGAGGGGAGACACGTGAGGGGAGACCGCCTCGTCACGTGAGGGGAGACCGCCTCGTCACGTGAGGCTGGAGCTCCCGGCGGCTCGGGGTGAGCGGGGTGGCGTGTCCGTGCCTCGCCTGACCGTGTCCGCCGCGGGCGGTTTCGTCCTAACGGCCGGTCACGGCCCGTCCCGCAGTGGCCTCCGCGGGGACAGCCCTGGCGGAGAGGACCGCCCCTCCCCTCCCGGCAGCGTGGCCCCAGGCAGGCAGGCTGCACGGCTGACCGGGGCTTGCTGCAGCCTCAGTTTCCCCATCTGTCCGTCCTCTCCGGGGTGCAGTGGGATGAGGTGGCCTCCTGGGGGCCGGGCGGGTGTGTGGTCGGGACCGTGATGCTGAGGGTCCCCGAGGACCAGGCCTCCCGGTCCCGCCTCGGCCTCAGCCCTGACGGGGTTCCGTGCCGAGGGGCCCGTGTCCCCGGGGAGCGGGGAAGGCCGCGGTGTGGGAGGCGGGACGGGCACTCACAGGTCGACCCCGGGCAGCGGGCACAGCGCCCTGACGTCCCTCTGCAGCCCGCCGGTGGCTCTGCCTGTCCCTCCGGATGTCTGACCGCGGGCCGCCCCCTCCGGGCGGGTCTGAGGGCTGGAGCTCGTCACCGATGGCTCCCTCGGTCTGGGACAGTCCGGAGGGGGGGGTCCTGCCTGTGGTGTCCCCGCCCCCCCACGGGGCTGGCCGGGCGGGAGCTGAGGACACGCTGCCCGGGCATGGGGAGCCCGGCCGGGCCCAGGCTCCGGGGGGCCTCTGAGGGCTGCCCACCCCCCCCGCGGATCCGGCTCTTCTGAGGCGTCCAGGCCCCCGCCCGAGGCCCGACGTGCTGACCCGGGCCGGGTGTGTGTTCCCCATCTGAGTAGCGGGTCCTTTTCCTGCAAGACCTCCCAGGGGACCCCTCCGTCCCGGTTCGCCGCGGCCGCTCCAGATGCTCGGCCGCGGGTCAGAGTTGCAGCAGGCAGTGCCAGCCGGTGAGCAGCGCCTGCCGCAGGCGCAGGCCGAGGGCCAGCAGCCGGGCCCGCAGGTCCTGCAGCGCCAGCGCCAGGGGCTTGATCCGGCCGCAGCACAGGCCCAGCAGCAGCACCAGCAGCGCGCACAGGCCCAGCAGCAGCAGCAAGCGGCCGCGGGGCCGGGGCCGGGGCCGGCGGGGCGCTGGGGGAGGGGGCGGTGAGCGACTTCCCTTCCCCCCCCTCCCCCTCCCCCTCCCCCAGGTCCGGCCTCCATCCTCCCCGGGGCCCGCACAGAGGCTGCGCCGTGGCCGCCCACCGGGTGGGCGTGGAGGCCCGTCCCTGCCGGCCTCGGGGTGTCCCGGGGTGGCCTGGGCTGGGGCTGCCCTGGGCACCGTGTGGGGTGCTGGGGACCCCGGGAGGGCTCAGAACTCACCCTTGGCGGGGGGCACGTGCTCCCGGCTGGCGATGTCTGCGGGGAGAGCCGAGGGTGGGCTGGCGCCCGGAGCCTGCGCCCCCAGGGCTCCCCCCTCACTCCCCACCCACCGGCCAGTCTGCCGGCTCCACCCGTCTGTCCAGCTCGGGCCGGAATGGGGGCCCCAGGACGCTGGGTGCCGCCCTCAGAGCCTGTGGAGTCGGGGCGCGGTGACCCCGCAGGCAGCCTGGAGCAGACCGAGCCGCAGAGGGACCAGCCCCACAGTGAGGCCCTGGCAGAGGCCCCAGAACCCGGCCCCTCGCCCCGCACCCACACCTGCGCCCCGCGCCCCTTACAGCGGACGGCCACCTCCAGGGGCTCCTGGAAGCGCACGTGCCTGGCGGCCCTCGCTGGCTGCGCCCTGCGGCCTCGGCCCCCCGGCGGCGAGCTGTGTCTCAGGATGGACGGGGGGCCCTTCCTGTCGCCCTCCTGGGGAGGCGGGGAGCAGAGGGAAGCGGGTGGTGATGGGGCCCCGCCAACCCCCGGAGGCTGTTCCCCAGGCTCCCGGCAGCCAGACCCACCGTGGGGCCAGATAGGGGCCCCTGGCCGCACCCACCCCACCCCGCCCTCTCACCCGCTCAGGACCCCATGTGCTGGCTGTCCCCACCAGCCCCACCAGTCCTAACGGTTCCTGCGCGTCAACAGTGATGGCACCAGTGACGGGAGGATGGCAGCCACTGGCACCCCCCATCTTCCTGCCTCTGCCCCCCCCCCCCACCTGCTGATCCTGGAGCCTCTGCCCAGGGGTGGGGTGGGGTGGGGCTCAGCCCGGGCGCCGGGGAGAAGGCTGGCCCAAGCCCCCCCCCCCCCCCCCCCCCGGCTCAGTGCCCTGAGGGCCACATGCTGGGCCTGTGTCTCAGCCGCGGGACCGGTGAGGGGGGTGAGCACAGGCCTCTGGCCAGGACGGGCAGAGCCTGGACCCCGGCCGCCGGGCCTGCCCTGCCCTCCCGCAGTGTGGTTTGGAAGTGGCGTGGCTGAGACCAGCCCACCCTGAGCCTCCGTGTTCCCGTCTGTGAAATGGGGCCACAGGCTGTGTGGGCTGTGAACACCAGTGAGCGGGGCCTCGGCCGCACAGCGCCCGCTGCTGGCCGCCTGGCGGCCGTCCCGCCTGGGCTCAGGGCCACCCGGCCCCGGGCTTGGCCAGGACTTCGGTGCCAACGGCCTGCCGGCCCGCAGTGAGCTGGGCGGCTGGACCAGGACGGCCCCCGTGGCCTCTCCCTGCTCCCTTCCTGACGCTGACCCGGCCGGACCTGGCCCGCCGCCTCCTGACGGCCTCTCCGGTCCTCCGTCCGGCGTCTGTCCCCGCGTCTGTCTATCCCTGCAGGGGGAGCTCCCGGAGGAGCATCCTGACCTGAGCCCTGCCCGCTCCTGCTTCCTCTCCCTGCACCCTCTCTCCTTCCCCCGCTTCCTCTGCCCGCCCCACCCCTCCCTCGCCAGGGTGGACACCGGGCACCTCGGTCACGCTGGGCCTGCCACCCGCTCTGCCAGCCCTAGCCCCCAGTGTCACTGCCCGGGCCCACCCTCACACGATGCCCCTCCCCCTGGGCCCTGGCCCATCGGGACGGCCTCACCTTCCCCGCCCGGGGCGCCGAGCAGCCCGGAGCGGCCGCCACATGCTTCCTGGTCGGAGGGCGCGTCTCTCGCCGGGCGTCGGGGCTCAGGGCTCGCGCTGCGGCCCTCATCTACTGGACATGGTCCTGGGGGAAGCAGAGGCACCGCTCACCGCACAGGCAGCACGTGGGGAGTCAGACAAAAGGGAGAGGAACACCTAGAAAGCCACCAAGCTTCCCTGACAGGTGTGGATTGTCTGCTGCAGTGGCTGCTGCTACTCCAGAGCTGTGCTACTCCAGGGCTGTGCTTCTCCAGGGCTGGGTGCTACTCCAGGGCTGGGTGTTATTCCAGGGCTGGGTGCTACTCCAGGGCTGTGCTACTCCAGGGCTGTGCTACTCCAGGGCTGTACTTCTCCAGGGCTGGGTGCTACTCCAGTTCTGGGTGCTATTCCAGGACTGTGGCTGTTATCCACTCACAGCCCACTCCATCACTGGTTCTCAGGAAGTTCGCATTTATTTTTGTCACAGTGTGTCGAGGCCACAGATAAGCTGCAGTGACATCTCTGCTGCCTCCTCTCAGGGGGAGGCTCAGGACGTGAACGTGGGGTGGGGGTGCGGAGGCTCTGGCTCTCCCTGTCCTCCCCGCTCCCCGCTCATGTGCACCTGTGACCCCGGCTGTGCCAGGCTCCTGTGCACCCGCTCCCTCCCCCTGGCCCTCGGGGGTGTCTCCTCCCACACCTCTGAAGGGTCCTGACGCGTGGACCTTGCCCGTCCTGCTCGGGGTCAGACCCCGAGGGCGTGGGAAGCCAGCGCGGACCGTCAGTCCTTGGGTGCCTGGCGGCTGATGGCCACACACCCATTTCACAGGCGGGTAAGTCAAGGCCAGAGGCAGCTGGGCCGCCCCAGGGAACGGGCGGCCTCCGGGGATGCGCGGGAGCCGCGGGGAGGGGCGGGGCTGGGGGAGGCGTGACCGGGCGGCAGCAGTGACCTCCGCCCTCGGCGTCCGCTCCCGGCCTGCAGCGGCCCAGAGTGGCGTCTGTGCGCCCGGACGGACCCATTACTTCAAAGGAAACAATTTCTCCCGAATCAGCCTCAGGTGCTTTTTGCAAACGCGGTGGTGGCAGAGCCGCCGGCCGGGGAGGAGGTGGGCGGCCACGGAGGGGGAGGAAGTGGGGGGACACAGAGCGCAGCAGCTGCTCTCTCAGGGAGGGCCTGGGGCTCACTCAGCGGCTGGGGCTGGGCTCCCCGGGGATCTTCCAGGAGCCACGGGCCTGCCTGGAGACGCACAGCCTCCTGGGCCCCGCGTTCGTCCCAGGGATAGTGGCCAGCACGTGTGAGTGTGCACGGGTGTGAGTGCATGCGTGTTTGTGCACTGTGAGTGTGCACAGGTGTGAGCACATGTGAGTGCACAGGTGTGAGTGCGCACAGGTGTGAGTGCATGCGTGTTTGTGCACTGTGAGTGTGCATAGGTGTGAGCACATGTGAGTGCACAGGTGTGAGAGTGCACAGGTGTGAGCGTGTGTGAGTGCGCACAGGTGTGAGTGCGCACAGGTGTGAGCGTGTGAGTGTGCACAGGTGTGAGTGCGCACAGGTGTGAGTGTGCACAGGTGTGAGTGTGCACAGGTGTGAGTGCATAGGTGTGAGTGTGCACAGGTGTGAGTGCGCACAGGTGTGAGTGCGCACAGGTGTGACTGTGCACAGGTGTGAGTGCACACAGGTGTGAGTGTGCACAGGTGTGAGTGTGCACAGGTGTGAGTGCACAGGTGTGAGTGCGCACAGGTGTGAGTTTGCACAGGTGTGAGTGCACAGGTGTGAGCGTGCACAGGTGTGAGTGCACAGGTGTGAGTGTGCACAGGTGTGAGTGTGCACAGGTGTGAGTGTGCACAGGTGTGAGTGCACAGGTGTGAGTGTGCACAGGTGAGAGCGTGTGTGAGTGTGCACAGGTGTGAGTGCACAGGTGTGAGCACATGTGAGTGCACAGGTGTGAGTGTGCACAGGTGTGAGCGTGTGTGAGTGTGCACAGGTGTGTGTGCACAGGTGTGAGTGTGCACAGGTGTGAGTGTGCACAGGTGTGAGTGCACAGGTGTGAGTGTGCACAGGTGTGAGTGCGCACAGCTGTGAGTGTGCACAGGTGTGACTGTGTACAGGTGTGAGCGTGTGTGAGTGTGCACAGGTGTGAGTGTGCACAGGTGTGAGTGTGCACAGGTGTGAGTGCACAGGTGTGAGTGCGCACAGGTGTGAGTGCGCACAGGTGTGAGTGTGCACAGGTGTGAGCATGCACAGGTGTGAGTGCACAGGTGTGAGTGTGCACAGGTGTGAGTGTGCACAGATGTGAGTTGCACAGGGCGGTCAGTCAGTGGGGTGCTGCCCTGGGCCTCACTCTCCCCACTGGTGATCTCAGCACTGCCGGCCCCGCCCCCGCAGGCCGCGCCCGCCGGGCCTGGCAGGGCCGTGTAACAGGAGTGCCCTCTGCTCGGGGCCAGCTCGTGACCGATGGGTGATAACGGGCGGAAAATAGCTCCAGGCAGGCCTGCAGAGTGTCAGCCGGGCACCCACCGGCCGGAGGCCAGGCCCCCAGCACCCTCACCGCTGTGCACAGGGAGCCGGCTCTGACCCTCCCAGGAGCAGGGCCGGCCAGGCCGAGCGTGCACCCCCGGCAGCTGTGGGGTTTGGCCTGGTGCCCCCGCCCCCCGTCCCCAGGGCTGAGGCCTCAGGAGACACGGTGCAGCCCACAGCTCTCCAGCCCAGCTCTGCGCCGGCCACACCCCCACCAGCCTGGGGGCGGCGCAGGGAGTGGGGTCCCACCTGGTGCAGCCCCTGAGGCAAGGCCGAGCCCGGCCACCACCTGTCCTGCCCCCACCCAGCCCTTCTCTGCGACACCACCCACTGGGCTTCCTCCTCTGGCAGGCGGTCATCTTTGTGCCCCTGGCCCAGGGCTCCGTCTGACCCGCTGCCCATCACCCACCACTGCCTGTTCCCGCCCACGGTCCCCTGGTCTCACCCGCTCACCGGGCCCACAGCCTGGCCTGTCCCCCCCGCACTGCTCCCCCCCCCCCCGCGCTGTCCTGTCACCAGCGACACCTGCTCCAGGGCCCTGGGCCTGTGAAGGGGGGGCACGCAGGGATCTCTGGAGAGGCTGGAGCTCTGGGGCCCCACTCACCCACCACATACACACACCCACCCCCACGTGCACACACTCACCCCATGTTCACACATTCACCTCCCCATGTACACACACCCACCCCCACGTGCACACACTCACCCCATGTTCACCCCCCACGTGCACACTCCCCTACATTGGCACGCACACCAGACACACAGACCTACACACACATGCATATATACATACACATAGACACCCCCTCACGCGCACACACACCACACCCCCTCGCCCGCCGCCCGCCGCCCACCTGGGCTCCTGCAGGTGCCGCCGTCACCGCGCTGGCCCACCTGCCGGCGGTCATGGGACCAGGGCCCGGAGCGAGGGGACACCAGAGCCGGCGGCTGGCCGGCCAGCGAGGAGATTCCGTTACAGCCGAGGGGCCGGCCGGCCGCCCGGGCCCTGCCCGCCCAGGAGGCCTCCTGTGGGCCCGGTGGCCTCCGGGGCGGGCATGGGCCGGGCAGCCCGGCCGGGGGAGGGGTCCAGCTGTCCTTCCTCCCAGCGGGAAGCAGGGCGTGGACACCCCGTGGCCTCCATGGGGAGGGGAGGGCACCCGAGAGGGAACGGGGGAGGCTGGGGCAGACACTCAGAGCTCTGGACGAGCAGAGGGGACCTGGAGCCGGCGCTGACCGCTCGCCCACACTGCCCGGGCCAGACCCACAGCCGGAGCGCGCCTGGCGCCGAGGCCCCGTCAGTGCTGAGCTGGGTGCCACACGGCTCTGGGTGCAGTTGGGACGTGGGTGGCAGGCTGAGGGTGCTGTGTGGCCGAGGGGGCAGGGAGGGCCCGGCATGTTGGTCGCGGGGGCCCATCCTGCAGACGCAGGGCCGGCACGCAGAGCATGCGGGCGGAATGACAGGCTGACCCCCGGGGGCCGCACACAGAGGGGCCAGGCACGCAGTGGGCCCTAGGCTGAGGGCGGCCCCCGCACGCTGGCCCGGATGGGGCTCCCGCCTGCAGCTCAGCTCTGCTCGGACCGTGGCCCATTCTGGGGGTTTCCAGTGGCTTGGGCTCCAGCGGGTCCGCTGGGCCGCGCCTGCGTGGAGGCCCTCGCGGGCCTGGCCTTCGGGGGGGGGGGAGCTGGCTGGGTGGACGGCCCTCCATGGCCCTGAGCCTTTGGAGGGGGGGAGGGGAGCTGGCTGGGTGGACGGCCCTTCGTGGGCCTGAGCCTTTGGGGTGGGCGGTGGGGGGATGGGAGCTGGCTGGGTGGACGGCCCTTCGTGGGCCTGAGCCTTTGGGGTGGGCGGTGGGGGGATGGGAGCTGGCTGGGTGGACGGCCCTTCGTGGGCCTGAGCCTTTGGGGTGGGCGGTGGGGGGATGGGAGCTGGCTGGGTGGACGGCCCTCGCGGGCCTGGCCTTCGGGGGGGGATGGGAGCTGGCTGCTCTCCGACCAGACCAGCCGTCCCTGGAGAGTGCAGGCCCTTTCCCACGCCCCTCCGCCCGCTGCCCTGGCCTCACTCCTTCCCAGCGGCTCCGGGCGCAGGCTGGGCGCGGCCCGAGTGGGGGAGAGGCTGCTCCAGCCCCGGGTGGGACCCTGGTGCCCCCTCGCCCAGCGGCCAGGCGGCCTCGGCGGGAGGAGGCTGGTGGTCCCGGGTCAGGCAGGACACCTGGGAAGGCTGGGGCGCCAGGGTTGGGGTCACAGGGACACTGAAGGCCCAGTCTTGGGAGGCTGCCCCTGCACCCCTGCTCCTCCCCCCCCCTCCCCTGGGCCTTGGCCCCCTCCAGCCCCCCCCCCCAGGGCCGAGTGTGCCCTCTGCCAGCCCCCGGGCCACTCGCCCGCTCCGTACCGGTCCTCCTGGAGCTGTGCTCCGGGCCCTGCGGTGGGAAGAGGCCGCTCTGAGCTGGTCTCGGGCTCCTGCGGTCTGTGGGGGCGGCGGCCGGCGTGGGCCCCGGGGCAGGTCCAGCGCGGTCCTGGCCGGGTCTCAGGGGCGGGTGCGGCCCGTGTCCGGCTGCCCCTGCCCAGCCGGCGGCTCGGCTCGGCCTGGGAGAGCTGCGCCCGCAGGCCGGTCCCCCCCTCGTCCCGCCGGGCGCGGGGGAGCTGGCCAGGGCGGCTGCGCTATAATTACTCCTCCAGCGGGAATGGCCCGGCCCTGAGGACCGGCCGCCGGCCCCGGGTCCGAGGAGGCCGCCCCCGGCCCCGGGTCCGAGGAGCGAGAGCACAGGCCGCCCACGGCCCCGGGTCCGAGGAGGCCGCCCACGGCCGAGAGCACAGGCCGCCCACGGCCCCGGGTCCGAGGAGGCCGCCCACAGCCCCGGGTCCGAGGAGGCCGCTCCCGGCCGAGAGCACAGGCCGCCCACGGCCCCGGGTCCGAGGAGCGAGAGCACAGGCCGCCCACGGCCCCGGGTCCGAGGAGGCCGCCCACAGCCCCGGGTCTGAGGAGGCCGCTCCCGGCCGAGAGCACAGGCCGCCCACGGCCCCGGGTCCGAGGAGGCCGCTCCCGGCCGAGAGCACAGGCCGCCCACGGCCCCGGGTCCAAGGAGGCCGCCCCCGGCCCCGGGTCCGAGGAGGCCGCCCACGGCCGAGAGCACAGGCCGCCCCCGGCCCCGGGTCTGAGGAGGCCGCCCACGGCCGAGAGCACAGGCCGCCCACGGCCCCGGGTCCGAGGAGGCCGCCCACGGCCGAGAGCACAGGCCGCCCACGGCCCCGGGTCCGAGGAGGCCGCTCCGGGCCGAGACCACAGGCCGCCCACGGCCCTGGGTCCGAGGAGGCCGCCCACGGCCCCGGGTCCGAGGAGGCCGCCCACGGCCGAGAGCACAGGCCGCCCACGGCCCCGGGTCCGAGGAGGCCGCCCACGGCCCCGAGTCCGAGGAGGCCGCCCACGGCCGAGAGCACAGGCCGCCCCCGGCCCCGGGTCCGAGGAGGCCGCTCCCGACCGAGAGCACAGGCCGCCCACGGCCCCGGGTCCGAGGAGGCCGCTCCCGACCGAGAGCACAGGCCGCCCCCGGCCCCGGGTCCGAGGAGGCCGCCCACGGCCGAGAGCACAGGCCGCCCACGGCCCCGGGTCCGAGGAGGCCGCTCCCGACCGAGAGCACAGGCCGCCCACGGCCCCGGGTCCGAGGAGGCCGCTCCCGACCGAGAGCACAGGCCGCCCCCGGCCCCGGGTCCGAGGAGGCCGCCCACGGCCGAGAGCACAGGCCGCCCACGGCCCCGGGTCCGAGGAGGCCGCTCCCGACCGAGAGCACAGGCCGCCCCCGGCCCCGGGTCCGAGGAGGCCGCCCACGGCCGAGAGCACAGGCCGCCCACGGCCCCGGGTCCGAGGAGGCCGCTCCGGGCCGAGACCACAGGCCGCCCACGGCCCGGGGTCCGAGGAGGCCGCCCACGGCCCCGGGTCCGAGGAGGCCGCCCACGGCCGAGAGCACAGGCCGCCCACGGCCCCGGGTCCGAGGAGGCCGCCCACGGCCCCGAGTCCGAGGAGGCCGCTCCCGGCCGAGAGCACAGGCCGCCCCCGGCCCCGGGTCCGAGGAGGCCGCTCCCGACCGAGAGCACAGGCCGCCCACGGCCCCGGGTCCGAGGAGGCCGCTCCCGACCGAGAGCACAGGCCGCCCACGGCCCCGGGTCCGAGGAGGCCGCTCCCGGCCGAGAGCACAGGCCGCCCACGGCCCCGGGTCCGAGGAGGCCGCTCCCGGCCGAGAGCACAGGCCGCCCCCGGCCCCGGGTCCGAGGAGGCCGCTCCCGACCGAGAGCACAGGCCGCCCACGGCCCCGGGTCCGAGGAGGCCGCTCCCGACCGAGAGCACAGGCCGCCCACGGCCCCGGGTCCGAGGAGGCCGCTCCCGGCCGAGAGCACAGGCCGCCCACGGCCCCGGGTCCGAGGAGGCCGCTCCCGACCGAGAGCACAGGCCGCCCACGGCCCCGGGTCCGAGGAGGCCGCTCCCGGCCGAGAGCACAGGCCGCCCACGGCCCCGGGTCCGAGGAGGCCGCTCCCGGCCGAGAGCACAGGCCGCCCCCGCCCGGCCAGGGCTCAGGGCCCGTCCTCCGGCCTCCGGCCCTGCGGCCGCCCAGCAATCCCAGCCCGCAGCTCCTGGAAACCCCGTGGCTGGCCAGCGGTGTGTGTGTGTGGAGTGGGGTGACGGGGGGCCAGAGGCAGGGGGTTACAGGAAGTGGGGTGATGGGGGGACCAGGTGGGGTGTGGGCAGTGGGGGTGTGGTGACGAGAGTCCAGCCTGTGGTTAGGCCCAGCCCCAAAGTGGAGTGCGGGGGGGAGGGACCTGCTGCCCAGCCCCCGCCTGCAGCCTGGTTCCAGGGGTTGGGGGGCCGGGGCCCAGCCATGGGGCTGCTCCCGGAGGCAGCAGCCCGGGGTCACGGCCACCTCCACATGTCACCGGCCGTCCCGTCCTGGTCACGTGACCAGTCCACCGTCCCCTCTCCTGGCCCAGCTCCTGTGGCCGCAGAGCCGGGCAGGGGCAGGTGGGCACAGGCCCGGAGCCGGGGGCGTCACCGACGGGGGTTCAGCGGGGACACGTTTGAGGGTGTCATTCCCTCCCCCAAGCTGCAGGGAGCAGGCTGAGGGGTGCCGGGAGAGGGGTTCTGGGGGGGAGCTGGGGGGTGGGGAGCCGGGGGAGGGTGCCGGGGAGGGATCCTGGGGGGGTCCTGGGGGGTCCTGGGGGGTGCTGAGGGGTGGGGTGCTGGGGAAGGATCCTCAGGGGCGTTCTGGGAGGGTTCCTGGGGGATCCTGGGGGGGTGGGGTGCCGGGGGGGTGCCTGGGAGGGATCCTGGGGGGGTCCTGGGGGGTGTTGGTGGTGCTGGGGGGGTGGGGTGCTGGGGAGGGATCCTCGGGGGGGTTCTGGGAGAGATCCTGGGGGGTGTTGGGGGGGTGCTGGGGAGGGATCCTGGGGGGGTCCTGGGGGGATCCTGGGGGGTGTTGGGGGGGTGCCGGGGGGTGGGGTGCCGGGGGGGGCTGGGAGGGTGGGGAGCTGGTGTGTGCGCCTGGCGGGAACGGCCACGGCGAGGTGGTGAGCCCTCCGTCGCTGGAGGCAAGCAAGGGAGGGTCCTGCTCTCGGGGACTCCCTGGCCGCAGCCTGGGGGTGAGGGTGGGGGGGAGGGAGGGGCGCTGCCGCGGGGGTGTCGGTGTCGGCCTGTGCGTCCCCAGCTCCTGGCGGCAGCCCCGGCCGGCGCTCCTGTCCGGCTTTCGGACGGGCCGTCCTGCCGCGGCCACAGCGGGCGCGGGGCCCACACTGGTCCCGGGACCCCCGGGCCTCGGCCTTGGGGCCGCTCCTGGCCGCTCCGCCGTGCCCGGAGTCTGACTCAGAAGACCGGCTCCCCACAGGGAGCAGCCCCTCCGCATGTGAGGGGGCCGAACCCGAGCCGGGCAGGCCGGCGCCAGAGGCATCAGGCCCCCCCTGCCGCCCCACCCCCGCCAGACGTCTCCTCTCT